CCGGAAAAAAAATTTTTCGTTGAAATTTTTACTGGAAGGGTACATAGTTGAATTGAACATTATCATCATCGGAAGTTTGCTAAATTATGAACAAACAAATGAGAGGAAGAAACAAACGGAATCAATTGATTGATTTATCATCATCAGTCGGTTCCGGCTTTAATTCTAGAAAAAAACCTCAATTTCTCCATTGATTTTTTATCACCATACGATTCTGTGTAGATGGAGTACCGATCTCCTATCTTATTCTATTTTTGCAATGAGGTAAGGAATTTTCACGTTGATTATATAGAAATGATCTTTATTCTCGGAATTGATATCTTCGGATTTCATAGAATGCCGCGGAGTGATAGATGTGCGAATCCAATGCGGGCTCCTGGTGAGAGAGAACACCTCGGTTATAATTTACGTCCGATTTCCTTGACACTACACGAGAAATTTCCTTTTTTACCATTGTCTGCGAAAATCTGTGGTCAATGCCCAACGAGAGCTCCAACTTATGTCATTCCTCCATCTGTCCCCACGGTTAAACTTAATGCTACACACTTTCAGCGTTCGGAAACTCCATCCGATATATCAATGCTCCAAGCCGAAACATGTGACCCAAGTCAGGATGTGATGAACAGTTCTCTGAGATCAGGTCGATCTTCCCATCTTGATAATTCCGGCATGACGAACCAGACGATGAAACTGAATTCGACAGTTCTTCCATGGATTATGATTCGGAAGGTGACCAAAGTGACATTGATCCATCTTCATCTATTCAGTATCGATCTGCGAGAGAAATAGAATTAGAAGAAATGTTGGACGGTTTGAAGCAGAAATTCAAAGATCTGAAAAACTACCGTGAGCGCCTGCAAATCTTGACGGTTCATCCATAGTCGTGGAGTGCGCGGAAAGTTGCTTCTGAATTTGGAACTACCAGATATATGGTGTCAAGAGCGAAAAGATTGAGAAAAATTAAAGGAGTGTTTGCTTCACCAATTGCGAAAGCAGATCATTCACTACCCAGCACAACCGTAGAGAATGTTCACAATTTTTACCTAGAGCACAGTCGCGTCATGCCAGGAATGAAAGATAAAATATCCATCAAGATCAATGGAGAGAAGAAAGTAGAGCAAAAGCGAATGATACTCGAAAATTGAAAAGTCCTTCATCGGAAGTACAAACATGCGAATGAAGATGCTAAGGTCGGTTTCAGTAAGTTTGGCGAGCTGAGACCTAAACAATGTGTAGTGGCGGGAGCAATCGCACCCACGTGGTATGTGTTTGTACGTATCATCAAAATTGTAAATTGATGCTAGAGGCAATTAATATTGTGACTCTAACTCAAGATTCCCCCTGTCCACTCAGAGATTACAAGGATTGTCTAGCAAAATTGATGTGTACAAATCCAACCCCGGCCGGTCATTTGGATGAATGTAACGATTGTCCTGGAGTGAAATCATTATCATGTGAACTGAAGAAACCTCTCTGATTCTGTCGTGGAAATGGTCGAATTTCGCGTGTGGCAAAGTACTGACAGGTGTACCTTGCAGACACAGACCCTCCCGATGGATGAATTCATTGATCTTCTAATGGAACGATTGATAGTATTGAAGCCCCATCACTTCATCGCTAAAGAACAATCGGCTTTTGTCAAAAAAGCCGAAAAGAGAATTTGAATAATGGAGAAGTACTAGAGCATTGTGATTTTTCGGAAAATTACGCTTTTGTGGCTCAAGATGCTGCTCAATCCTTCCACTACAATAATGACCAGTGTACAGTTCACCCCGTTGTTCACTACTATCGCGAAAAAAATGAAATCCAACATCGGAGTTTAGTCGTTTTGTCGGACCGTACGACTTACGATACTGCTGCTGTTTATTTGATATAGAAGATTTTAATACAGCATGTGAAAGACAACTGTGAAAGCGTGGAGAAAATGATCTATGTCACCGATGAAGCTGCACAACATTACAAGAATCGTTTTCAGATCATGAATCTCTTGCATCACAAGACTGATTTTGGCATAGATGCGGAAGCTCATTTTCATGCAACCGCGCACGGTAAAGGAGCTTGTGACGGAGTAGGAGCTGTCTTTAAGAGAGAAGCGAGACGTAAGACCTTGCAAATCGTTCATGGTGAACCAATCCTCACGCCAGATGCTTTGTTTCGATGGTCAAAAGAGAATTGTGAAGGAATTGATGTTTTTTTTTTCACCAAGGCAGAACACGAGAATATCAAAACTGAGTTGAGAGAGAGATTTGATAGTGCCAAAGCTATTCCAGCCATTCAAAATCACCATTGTTTTATTCCGATACCGGGAGAGCAATTGTTAATTAAACGATATTCGGCTTCGGTTAACGAGGAGGTTTTCCCAAAACAAGAACAAACAACAACAAAACGAAAAACCCGCAGAAGTCAGTAATCGTGATGTAAATAATTCATCAGTGCATGTTGGAACTTGTCGTCGAAGAGAGTGGAGAATTTCTCCGTATTGTAAAAATGTAAAAATGTGAAAATATAAAATGTTGTCGCTATAGAAGAATAAAAATTGTTTTTTTCCCATACTTTTTCGTTAGTGGAAAGCACAGTGTGTTGTTGAGAAAAGATTTATATTCGTATCAATAGTCTATTCTATCCAGCAAAACAGAAAATGTCTCTTGACAAACCGCTTTTTCAGTAACAATAATGCAACTCTCCTAAAGGACAGACAAACGTTAAAATTTCGAAGAAAATTTTTTTTCGGAGCATTCTTTTTCTGTTACATGATGGCGTACTCTTTTGCCATCATATATGAACAAAGAATAATAGTTGACAGACTGATTTCTTTGAAAAAAACCGATGGATCTCCCCTAAAAACTGAAAAACCCAAAAATTTCGAAAAAAAAAATTTTTTCCGGTGCATTGCTTCGCTCTTCTATTATGGCGTATTTTTTTTATATCACATGAGGACATCCTCTATCATAAAAAAAATATTTCGATCGAATATCGAGCAGCCCTAGAGTGAAAAAAAAATGAAAGCGCGAAAAATTCTCGAAAAACCGATCTAGGAGCTTCTTGACGGCTCTGAAGTATTTTTTATCCTGACGTACGAGAAAAAACGAAAGTTTTCTTTTTTTATTTATCAAAATCGGATGCTCCATTCAGAAGTAATGATTTTTTAAAAATTTCAAGTTTCGTAATGATTATCTCAGAAACAAAAAGTGGCAGGGCAATGAAACTTTGCATGATCACTGGCTATATGTAGCAGTTCAAAATGCACCTACTCAATGATTTTTCCCAGACAAAAAAAAAATTCGGTGTGGCTGAGTTGACATGGAATGTCTCATATAACAAAAGTTTGTAACTCTATAACATTAATTGACAGAAAAAATTTCAGATGTTTACTACCAGCTGCATAGTATGCTGCATGGCTGCATACTATCTTGTATAAAAGTCCAATGTTTCGAATATTTTATATGATGAGTATCAAAAAAACAATAATGTGAAGTTGATATCTCAATTTTTGGACAAGCTAGAGTGATTACAATTTTTTTTTTAATAAAAAAAAGGAAAAACAGGAATCGTTTTTCCATAAAAAAAACGTTCGCAAATCAAAAGGCCTTAATTGATCACCCGGATTAATTTCGCTTAGTTGCTCTTAGGCAGTTGTGCAGATAGGCGAAATCAAAAAAATTAAATCATTTGAAATCAGTTGTTCCAAAAAATCACGGAAAATCACTTTAAAATTACATGAAATTAACAATTGTTGTGTTACGATATTTGGCAGCGAATGCTTCAAGAATGAAGGATTTCGTTTTCAATATGAATTTATGTGAGCTTTCTTATTCGAGGTGGATGATTTATTCTATCTCATTCAACCTAAATTGATGAAAATAACAATTGAAAGCAGGATCTCAGTTTTCTCCAGAGTCTCATTTTGCCCCGGTGTTCCCTTTCGGCGTGATTGGGTTATAAAAAGGTTCAGAAGTACATTTCAGCAATACCAATTTTCTTGGTTCTACGAATTAATGGAAGCTAATTTCTTAGACGAATGTTAGGAGAAAAGAGTAATTTACGAATATCAAATCGTTACTTCCTTAGCGTAAATTACATGTTAACGCTAAACGTAAGATATGTCCAACGAAAAATTAAAAACCACTTAAACGTAATCACTTAACTATAATGAATCGTTAAAGACCACTTGAACGCGATTTACGTGTACTTTTTTCTGTGCATGTAATGGTGACTGGTGGGAGCAAACGTGCATGATAGGGAAGCGATGCTGAGTTGTCATTTAGTCAAAGTTGAGACTGAGCAGAGTACAAGCAGTCACACGTTCAGAATTTCTCATTATTCCAAATTACTTACATTCCACAGTACATTTGAAAAACGTTAAGTTAAGACATCGAAATATGAAGAAGTTCCTAATCGTCTGGATTTGCATTACTATATTCACATCTTCAACCAGCACAGATCAGCAGAGCTGGTGTCGGCAGGATTATAGATTTAAAATCTGTCAATACCGTGATGTGTTGGTATTCGTTAATCAAACGGAGGTTTATGCTTCCGAACTTTCATTGAATGTGGATGATTTCTCCACAATAATTCCATATGCGTTCCGAAAGGTCCGACTTTCTAAACTTGAATTTTATAAACCATCAGGAATAAGATTGGGCTGCATTCCAAAGGCAATAGATATGACTCCACAATCATTTGATGGGGTATCGGCAAAGTCTCTGCTTTTACAGTGTATGAAGCTCGCAGTGAAATCTAACCCATTCAAAAACTTTGCACTCAGTTATTTGTACTTGGTGAAAGTGGAATTGACGGGAATATTATCGGAATTTTTCGCAGCTTTTCCACATCTGGAAATATTGTACTTGGAAAACCTAAACATTACAACAATTTCTCCTGATACATTTTCTGGAATTAACGAAGGACTCATACATCTTTCGATTTTTGATAAGATAAGTGCTATTGAATCAAAATCTTTCGAAAAATTTCGTAATTTGAAGACCCTGTTACTAAATAAAATGTTGTTGTCTGAGCTACCATCTGATATGTTTAAAGGTCTCAAACAACTAGAAAAACTGGATTTGGAAAAGAATAAAATTACTGTATTACGTAGAAATACCTTTAGTGCAGTACCTGAATTAAAAACACTCATTCTGTGTCACAATAAGATCAGTGAAATAGAACCTGGAACCTTTACCGGCTTGAGTCTCTATAAGCTCGATTTAAAATTCAACAAGTTGGGTAATCTATCAGATGGACTTTTTCGTCATCTCAGGGCCCTGGAGGTTCTGGATCTTGCAAAAAACGGTTTGGTAACTGTACCGTACAATACTTTTGACGGGTGTGGTGGACTCCGGAGCCTGAATTTGGCGCGCAACAGGATACAGCATATTGATCCTGGTGCTTTTGCCCGTTTAAAACTCGAACGACTCGATTTATCGCGTAATGAGTTGACTGTTTTGGAACGTGATGCCTTCAATGATCTCCAGATTGATAATCTATTGGATCTTCGTTTCAACAATATCAGCAAAATTAAACTGCGAGCATGCAAAAACCTGAAAGCTTGGCAGATCTCACTTTGTCACAATAATATGACTAAAGTTGGCAGAAATAGGGGGCGTAGGAATAAATCACTCAAGAAAATCATCATTAAGTGTTCGAAACTACAGAATAAGCATGCACGGTTTGACGGCATATGCAGCATGTCGAAAAATCAGACCAATTCACCCACGTTGAACAGCGGGAACGAGAGTAACGGTCGAATATCGGTTTCACATCCAATACTCAAACAGCGGCGAATCCATGATCTATTGGAGATTGGCCGTAATCCTAACCAGCTCAATATTTCTAGTCTATTTTTTTTAAATAAAATATCAACAGAAGCATGTCGATAGTTATCAGATAATGCTTTCCAATTAAAGTTAGTTATAGTTACATCACGTATTCATTAGTATCCTCATTTATTACGAATAAATCAGTTAATTTTCAACTCATGAATTAATTTTGATAATTTTGTTGATGGATACAGGGAAGGATGGATAAATAATGGGTCTGCAGCGTTCCCGATGGTGGGAGTGAGTGAATTTGTACTTATCAATATGGAAAATGAAGATCTTTTTTCTCTTAAGGATATCCAAGTAGTTTTAGGCAATTTTTTCTGGGGGAAAATCTCTTCAAAGTTTATAGATTAGACCGGGAGTACTTTTCAGGCGCAATATCAACTTTAGTTTTCGAAATTTTTTTCGAGAAAATGATTTTTGAAAAAATAACATTTAACACATTGAGTCCATAAGAGCTGTATACTCCCACCTTCAATCCAATGGTTCATAGTCTTAAAGCGTTTTTTCGTATATGTAACCGTATACGACTTTGTTCCTTATACTCTTTAGTTCTGTTAGCGATACTAAGAAGCATAATTTTCCGGACAAATAATTGCAATCAAATTAAAAGCTTCTTGATTGCTACGACGGTCATATTGGGTGGTTTGAATCCGCGTATTCCTGACCCCTGGCAACGGTCCGCTCAAGTGACTACTCGGACCGAATTTACGAGTTTATATGGAGCACATGTGCAATGGCACATGTAAGTGTATCATGAGAGGTTGGACCAACGAGATTCAAGTGTGAAATTGAATAAAATATTGTTCACAATATACATTGAAAATTGTTTTCGTCAAAACAGAAATCTTGCTTGAAAAAAAAGTTGCTAATAGGAATAAATTACTTCGATATTCTTAAATGCTCGAGTAGAAATTTCGTCAGTTTATCATCGGTTACCGATGAGGTGCAACCGACATGGTCACCGGTTCTACATAGGTTTGGACCTACAAGGAACTCATGAAATGTCACGCAGTTACCTTATAAGTTACAAGTAGGTTGTAACCCATCAAAAACTGATATATGATTTTGGCCAAACCTTAATTATGACCCTTCCTAATTAATGAACCTTATTTCTGATCCTCGTGACTCTAATTTCTGACGTCTATTATTTACCCCAATTTTTGACCCTTGTGACCCTCATTTCGGACGTTTATTTTTGACTCTCATTTCTGACCCTCGTGACCTTTAGTTTTTATTTTTTTTGTGAGCCTCATTCCTGACCCCTGTGACCCTTATTTCTGACGTTTATTTTTGACCCTCATTTCAGACCCTCGTAACCCTTTGTTTTGATCCTTCTTTTTTGGCCCTAATTCTTAATCCTTATTCCTTACTCTCGTGACTCCTATTTCTGGCGTTTAGTTTTGATACTTATTTAAGTTACTGATGGGTTCTCTGATGGGATCAGTTATACCCGAGCGGACTTGGACAATTGAATGTCGTTAACACCGTATAAGGGACAAATAAGTTACAAAGGGGTTGAGCGAAATAAGTTAGTGATCGGTGATAAATTCATCTGTCACTCACAATGATCATCCCTTGGAACTTACAGGTTACACATCAGGTACAACCTGTGAGTCAGTAACCTACAACAAACTCATAGGTTCCCAATGCACATTAGTGGTTCCCGAGGAAATTTCTACTCGGGTGATTAACAAAAATCGAAAATTTTTCATCGTTTTAGTTATCTTCATCGTTCAACCGTTATCATAATTTGAAAGATATCTATGGGAAGAATGGAGCTAAATGATAGCAATGGCCAAACGGGGGTGGGAAAGCTAAACTTTTACAAGGATCAGCTTCTTGGAACTCTCGCGCCATTACGCGGCGCTGATGGATGCATGCGGCACAGCGCGGCTTAGGAGGAATTGGAGAGATAGAGAAGACATGGCACTGGCGTCTCATGAGAAGAGGATGTACCCAATAATTGGTATAGAATAGAATAGAATAGTTGGAGAGTGGGGGTAAGTAGGTAGAGTGGGAAAATTTGCAATCGCAATGTAAATGTGAGACCATGAAGTGGTCTCTAAACTAGCTACTCTTGGGGGTCAATCAATGATATTCCAGGGTAAACCAATGACAGGATTCGACCAATGACATCAAGGAGAACCCAGTGATATCGATAGTTGGCCGCCAAGAGTAGTTCAAGGTTACTGGTATCTAGTAACCTTGGAGATCACTTGATGGCTCCGACGTTTCCATTGCGATCGCGAATGGAGCACACATGGAGCAGGTGAAACACTGCGCTATCTGGATCGGTGAGAATAACGGGGTAGCTAAATCTATACTGCTTATAGGTGAGTTTCAGGGGGCTGACAAGGATCAAGCGGTGAAGAGGAGCCAGATAATCCCAATGGTCGAACGGAGGAAGCACGATGGGCATCATGGATAAACAGGAAAGAAGGCAGGGAAGGCCAAGATGAGTTGTGACAGAAAAAAACTGGTCCGAGACGATCGAGATCGAGCAGATGTATTTCAGACTGTTTCTCTAGTATAATCTATTCCAGCTTTTGGAAATTAAAATTGAAAGTCTGATGGATTTCGAGTGAACTTTCTATCAGTTTTTAGCCGATTCTAATTGAAAATTTCGCAGCTTACGTTTTTTTGTAATAAAAATGTTCCATGGAACATATTCTATAAAGAATGTTGGTAGAAGTAGATTGTTCTGTATATTTTTTTTCTACTGGGATATTTTTTGTCGATATTCTTAGGCTCAAAATTTTCGTTTTTTTTGCACTTAAAAATAGAGTGTAAAAAATTTGAAAATTCATGTCGAAGAATTTCTAGAGAAAATGCCTGAATAGAAAAATTTGCATAGAAAGATGAAATTTTTCTTATTTCTTCTATGAACTATCCAGATTCTATTAGACATTTTTTGTACATAAAAAATGAGGCGGTTAGGTTTATGTCGTAGAATAATAACTCATGGTTTAGCAGAATAAAGGTGTTGTATTTAGCACGTTAGATGTGTTTACATCGAGTTTGAGAAGCGAATTGAAATCGACTGATCTATTTGGTCGGGAGCGTGCGGGTCTAAATATCTTTTATTATAAAAGGTTCGAGAATCGTCCAGAAATTTCGTGAGGGACAAGGATAGAATGATGTTTGTCTCGCATACGACGATATAGAATATTCGAGACGCGTTATATGAATTTCCAAATAATTTTAGGTGTATGACTTAATTCTCGGCCTTTTTTCGACAATTTTGACATTTATTTATAAAAAAATTAATACGGATCTAATCTTAAAAATAATCACCGTCACTTTACACGCATTTCTCCCATCTACCGGGCAATTGGCGGATTCCAGCTCGAAAAAAAGATGGTGGTTTTGACTGGATAAAGTCATCCCTGCCCTGCCGGACTTCTTCAGATTGGAACTGGGTATCCCCCAGGTGATGTTGTAGCGCCCGAAAAAGGTGATAGTCAGAAGGCGCAAGGTCTGGAGAATACGCTGCATATGGGAGAATTTCCCAGCCCAACGTGGAGATAACTTTCAGAGTTTCTTTTGCTGTGTGTGGCCACGCGTTGTCCTGCAGCAAAATTACTTGCCTCGTACTACTACCAGTAAAAGGTCTCTTTACCTCAATAGCATCACTGAATTTTACCAGTTGGTACTGATAACGCTTAGCAGTGACGGTTTCCCCCTGTTCAAGTATCTCATAATAGCTTACACCTTTGCAATCCCACCAAATATACAACAATTTTTTCCCGTGAATGTTCGCTTTTGCAGTACTCGTTGATGGCTCCCCCAGATAAACCCACGACTTTCGCCTCTTAGAATTGTCGCAAAATATCCATTTTTCATCCCCAGTCACAATTTCATGTAAAAAGTCTTTTTGTTTGAAACTGGTCTGAATTTTGTTTGTATAAATCTGGTCAGTAGGCACATGGCAATTTCACATCGTCGACTTTTGTTTTTTGAGATAAGATGATGGAGCACCCAACGACCTTCCTTCTGTATTCTCCCAATTCTTTTTAAACGCCTCGAAATAGCTGATTGAGTCACTCCGAGAGTATCAGCAAGCTCCTGGTGTGTTTGACAGGTATTTTCATTGAGTAGGTTGTCCAACTCTTCGTCCTCAACTTTTTTTGGTTGCCCAGGACGTTTTTCATCCTGGAGATCAAAATTTCCATCCCGAAATTTTTTAAACCACTTTTTACATGTGCTATAAGATACAGCACTCCCTCCCAAGGCCGAACAAATCAATTTTTGTGCTTCTGCAGCAGTTATTCCAAGTTGGAAGGTGAAAAGAAGGGAGTGCCCCAAGTGCTGCGTGACAAACGACATTTTCATTTACTATGTTTCTTGAGGTTGTGTTAATCGGACCATAATTGGACTTGAGTGGTTTGATGGCTCACAGATGGCGCTTCAAAACGCCCTATATTGCGGGAAAATTTTTCAATCCCAATAGGTGTCCTAATCAACTTAATCTAGGAGCCAAGAATTAAGTCATACACCTAATAATTGGTTTGTGGTTCGCGCCACAAAAAACATGTAAGAAAGTTGGGTGATTCTTCAATGAAATTGGCCAAAAACTAATAGAATCTTTAATATATTATATAAAAATGCAATGGAAATCCAATAGAATATAAAATAAGGAGGAGAATTTAAAATGATTTAAAATAAGCAACCTCGAAGTTTCTAGACAATTCGCTACCGTTTTTAATGAAAATTTTTTATCGCGCATTTTTGCAACTCTCCAGAATGTGTGTTGAATCATGATTCATGATCTTCACCTATAATTTTCAAATTAAACGTAGAAAATCACCTCGTGTCCCCCCGACGTTGCACTTGTATTCCTCCTCTCAGCGATTTGTAATTGTTGCAATACGGTTGATATTATTCTGAGTCTTTGAGTTTCCCTATATCTCTTGAAGTTTTAACTCTCATTTTTTATTTTTCCCTTTTCCAATTATTCAATTTACAACTTATCTGTGAGGTTTTTAATTTTTTAATTTTTCAGTAAATTGTTCTTGTAAGCTGATATTGAGAATCATCCTGGTTTCACTCTTGCCTACTCCAAACATACGATAGGATATCCAACAATATCTTATGGCATCACAAAATGTGGACTTTCGTCATATTTTTCATCGTTTCGTATAATTTAAACAGGCATTTTGAGCGGTAATGCACTGATAGAGAGGATTAGTTATTGTTAACAAA